GTCCAACTAGATTTGTCTCTCGCTTAGAGCACTAAAAAACTCTAGTTCTCAACTTGCAGATAATGGATTATGCATCTCTGCCACATTTTTGTAAAAGAGAAGGCTCGGGTTCATCTAAGCATTCTAGAAATGGTACAAATGATAATTGTTTCTCGTTGGATCATGCCTTTCATCAGCAGCTCTATGATTATATTAAGCAACAAGCTGAAGCATTGGAGGCTGTTGCACCAAGCAAAGAAGGGTCTGTCCATGTGACCTTACCTGAGCCAGATCCAGACGATGCGAAGATTGCTGAAACAATAGAATCTGAATTTCAGAGGATCAGGAAGAAAAACGGAATTTGTCAATCATTTCATGAAATTAAGATCAATGGTGATTGAAGCAGAATGGAAATGAATTTGCATATTGGCTGATTCACAGTAGTATTGGTTATTGCTTATTCTGAATCCGGCTTTTACATGAGGAGAGGATTTAAGTAAGCATTGTAATACTAATGGCTTGCATCATCTCGATGCAGGATTTAGATAGAACCTAAGTTGTAACATGGCATTACTACCTTGGAGTGGACTATATGGATGGTCAAAAATGCTTAAAGAATTCCACGAAGGAATTTTACGCGCATTTTGCTTAATTGATCTGCTTTTTTCTGCTGCTTTCGAGATTCCTGAATCTTCTCAAGATAGAATAAACTTTCTTCTTGTTGAAGGACTGTAAAGGAAGGGGAGAAAAAGCAGAAACTATGATAAAATAAAAATGGCCAGAGGAACTTTTCCTGTCTCTGTGTTCTGTTCATCTGATATAGCGATCTTGTCCAAGCAGAATATTAATAAGAACCTTGCTTTAAAATACCCGTGATTCACCTGGTATATGGAATTGATTTTACTATTCCTGGCTTTGATATATTAATATTATCGCATGAAGCATCCAAGCTATGGGTGATGCCAAATAAACCATTTCCTCTGAATCCTGACATGCAGTTAAGTTTGTGCTCCGATACTTCAGATGGCAAAGAAATTTTTTGTTCTACCTGGAAAACATCAAAAATTTGATCCAAGAGCCTGGCTGTGGTTTTACAACTAAAAATGGAACAAACCTGTATACAAATTGGAAATTCACATGCCCTTTGGGATCACAGTTGCACGTTCTTTCTTTCTTTTTTCTCACAAAGACAGCCAGCACATTCATAGACCTTAGAAACAAATTTAGACACCAGGAAGCGCATAAACATAAAAGAATACATGCCTAAATTTACAGCACCAATTGTCTTTCATTACTCTGTTCTGGCATAAGTCGCATCCCAAAGTAAATTAAATTAGACTTCCTTTCAGTGACTTGCACATGCAATAACCTCAATTTACATCAGGAAAGCAGAAAGATGTTTTTTACCCAACAACGGAATTTGCACGACAAACGTGAGTCTCTTTACGAATATTACTTCAGCTGCCTGTAGCAATTGAAGGCGTAGGCAACTGATACGACAGCACCAATAACAGCAAGAACTGCATATGTATCTTCCCGCTCCCAGCTCTCGTACCATGTAGGCATGGAGCACACTTTGCGAGAGCGAGCCCCTTTTCCACTATTACTTCGAGAAATTTGTCGCCTGAAGCTCTTTTTCTTTTCAGATGTAAAGTCAGTGTTTTCTTGGTGGAGATCGAAATTTTCAGTATTGACTGGTAATTGAGTGTTCTGACAACAAGAGATATTCCCATTTGCCCTGCAACAGTCAATACCCTCTAATTGGGAGCCACATGTGCTAGTACCAACATCATCTGAGTTTTTGGTGCCTCTTCCCATATATGTTCCACCATTAACACTGAGCCTATATTCTTGGGATGCTTTCTGTTCGTCTTCAGACAGTCCCATCTGGCCCCTGAAATAAAATTTTGGTATTCTAGATAAACAGAAAAGTAAAAGTTTCATTGATGCATGCAAAAGTGCCTTCTGCACCCCCCTGCAAGCAGAGTAGGACAAATGATGCTTGAAAAGCCAATTTTTCACCTCTACAAAATTAGGATTGTTTTTACAAAACACTTCCTCATTAGTAACGTTAATGAGTACATTGGAATCAACATTATTGAGTTCTTACACCCTCATAATTTTATGGAACACTGAATTTCCATTGCCAATTATATCTAAAAAATTTGTTTCCCCAAAAACATAAATTTGGCTCCATAAGCAGATAAGGGCACAGGTTTATGGAACTTAAGCCGTTTAAAAGGTAACTAAATATTGACACAACAATGCCTTGGAAACATACATAACTTGAATCTTAATCACACTTTTAAAAGTGCCATTGCAAACGTTTTAGAGCTGACAAGTATAGAATAGCTTAAAGACACATTAAAATCATTTAGAAGTAGTCACATGCAATTTCTCCAGATGTCAGATAAGAGAATTACCTCCACAACCAATCAACAATTTCTCCTTTAGCAACATGCTGTTCAAGCAACTGAGGTACATCATCAGGTGTAACATAGCCATACCTAATGCCCAACAAAATCAAATATATAATTAACTACCCAGCTCAAATTCATCAACTGCCTGCATCAGAGATAACAAAGCCCAAAAGAAAAGGGGCATAAGGTTTCTCCTAACCAGTGTCCGGAGATTTCCTTGTTAGTGTTTGGTCCGAATATGATCACATTTCCAGCAAACTTGTGTCCCCCGATGTGTGAGCATGGACTAACAGATATTTTTCCTTGAAGATCATGTTTCTCTATCTCCTCCCTAAGTCTACTTACTATAGCTGGTCCACAAACACCACATCGACGATCTCTTGAACCATGACAGCACACAAATATGTACCATCCAGTCAGAGCTTCAGGATTTCCAGGTAACCACTCACCATCCTTCACTAGCACCTCCTCAACAAATGTGTCAACATCAAAATGAGTCAATCTCCTGCAACATAGGTGAATTTAATCACTTAATAAGTATGCAGTCAACAGCACCAGATGCACTAGAATAGTATATCGTATTTCAGACCTGTATCTGATCATGTCCGGAAAGATCAACACATCCCCATTTGATGTCTCAGTTCCATCATGCCCTTCACATATTGTTAACCGAGTCTTGAAGAAAGAAAATTTATAAGGTAAATCACTATAGATATTACCGTGATCATGAAGAAATCATAACCAATTCAACAATTTACTCAAGAAAAAAATCTCTGAAAGCTGGCAGACCAAAGGCAAAACTGTTTTATGTTCAATAATACTTTTATCACAAAAGATGAAGTACATAATAGCAAGACGGAATCTAAATTCGCATAAAGCATTTCAAAGGCAACGCTAAATTACATCATAGCTACTTCCAGGACCAAAGTCAAAAAATAAGAGCACTACCCTGGGTATTCAAGACTTTAACTTTCAAGAGCTACGCCTAGAGATCATATAGATAAGTCAAGAAGGACGCCAGAACTCAATTTTTAGAGCCAAGCAAAGAGATTATATATGCCTCGAGAAGGATACCAGTTGTAGAAGTCGGCATGCTAGTAAAGGTGTTGAAACAGACTACAAATTATGAAAACAAAAGCAATAATCCGGATTGTTACTTAGCGTTCTATAAATTGCTAGCACATTGTGCACAGGGAGACCATACTGATCTGCAATTCGCCTTAACAGGATATAGAAAATGGAATCAACTAACCGAAGATAAAATGTTTTACAATTCTTCGGCTCTCTCTAATAAGAAAGTGCACTTCTGCCCCTTACAGTAGCATGTCAAATGCACCTTTGTCCTCATACTTTGAAAATTAAACTTCACAATGTCATTTTAAATTAATTTATTGCAAATCTTCAGCTTACTAATTTTCGTATGCAATTGAAGTGAATGTTTTTCTGCCAGGTAATCTAGTGGCAAATCATACACAACCTTGAAAAACAAATAGTAGGCTGTGTGTCCACTCCTCAGTGTTGGATTTCATGATTGACTGTTAGGGAAACTGGGCAATCAACCACAATGAATCAGGTTTTTCTTCATTTCACCATTTAAAATTCTTCTTTAAGGGTGTTCATGGCTTATTTTTCCAATAATAGTAAGTAGACTGCAAGCTAAGCAAGTGATAGAGTCTCAATAGTACAATATATAGCAACATAAAATAAGGCAAAAGTTAGGTTGCTCGTTAGATCTTCACTGATCGACTCGATGATTGTGACTTGTGGGGATACTTAATGGGAGTTCTATCACGACTAATCAGTTTTTCCCGTCTTAAGCATTAAATGTTCTTGTTCAAGAGTGAATGTCCCTCATTTTCTCCATCATTAGAAAAGTAGAATGTTCTCTCTTTCTTTCTTTTTTCTAGTTTTTCGTCATAAAAAGATGGGATCAAACTCAACGATGGGGGTCAGAAGAGTAACATGTGGCCATCTGCTGCTCCATAGTGGGATAAGTGAATTTTTACTGTTTTTAGTGCTTCTTTCTTAACGGTCAATTGGTTCGAGGCAGTAAAACAAAAGTTACGAGAAAAACAAACATGTACAATAACGTGGCTACTTAAGGTATTCTGCTGTACCTACACAAGTTCAATCAAAATTACGTCAAACGAGAACAATTTGCTCTTAAACTTAAGACAAGCTATGCAGGATGGAAAATGGCAAGTCATATGATCTACTTAATTATACAGGTGGACTCTAGCAATTGAAAATTGGAGACTGTTAAAGTTTTTATCCAAAGGAAAAGAAACTGTACAAGGACAAAAAGTGTATACGAACAAATAATGTAGGAACTAACTGTGCATTTTACTTTTCAGTCTATTGCTATATGCAGGAAGAACTCAGTTCAGACATCCGAATAAGTAACAATGTAAAAAACCAAGGAATGCCCATCTTTTAAAAGAAAGCATCTGCATAAATTTAAGAAAGCTTTAACTCGAAAGCTGATGGAAGCAGTTCTTCCCACCCAATTCAAATGGCGTGTTGGGCTTGTTTGCTTATCAACATAGCCAAAGGTTTAAGGATGATATGAGATGTAAATTATTTGATTTTTTCCAAAATAAAATTTGACATTTTGAAACTACATGATAAACGACTAACAAGTTAGAAATATACTCATTTCAGAATGCTAAAAGACCTAATAACCAATCACGCGCCTAAATCCGTTAGTGTTTAGCTATATAAATCCTTCATATTAATTCAACTCTAATCAGGCTTATTTCAGGTAAATTACAATTAGATGTTAAAAGACTAATTTTTTGAATAAAAGAAATGGTATTGGTCAAACTTTAATATAGTACTAATTGAATTTCCAGTAACTCATTAGCAATTATATCCATGGGCATACTAGAAGATAATAACAGCTAGCACAATGCAGTATAGCTACTTATTCAAAATTTTAAAACAAAGTGACACGTGGCACAAACCTGCTTGTTGATATCATTCTTGCGAGCAGAAAGAGCAGCAGCAAGAAGCCTAGGCAAGCGATCAAACTCAGTGGCCTGAATACGCGGAGGCCAAACTTGAGGATTTTTGTAGCAAAGGAAGACGTGGCGGTCATAGAAATCGACAGTACCAACGAGTGGAGTCTGGCGAAAATCAGGACGGGAAAAACCGAACTCGGCATCGGAAGTGCCGGCGGCGGCGTCGAGGCCGGAGAGAAAACCCTCGTTCTGGAAACTTCCAGAAGCGCTACCGATCTGAGAAGAATCTAGAAGGAAGCTGTCCGCATCGGAGACGGTTATTGGGGAAGAAGTGTTAGGGTTTATGAAATCGTTGTCCCTGTTGCTACTCGCCATTACTGAGTGGACTGAGGGAGTATTAATGGTGTCTTTCTAACTTTGACCTCTGGGATAGTGAAATGGACTCTTCTTCAATTGATTATTACTCCTCTGTTATTACACCCTGTACTTTAGTTTCCTTTTTTTTTTGTTCCTTTCCACATTTGGGTGGACAGTGAACTTTTTTAAGAGTTAGCAATACTTTTATTTATTATGGGTAAAATTATATGTACTTTATTTTTTTTTAAAGGAAGTGCAAAATCAAAAGAATAATTAAAAAGATGGAATAATTTATTATAATCAATTAAATTACATTAATACTTTTAAATTTATTTCATATTGTTAATATATAGTCCACTTTAGTTAATTTTTTGGTTGTTTTCACGCATTTTAAGAAATTCACTTATTAGCATTAGTTAATCTCGGGTTCGAGCCCTGAGTATGGAAAAATCCTTGGTAGATAGCGCTTCTCCCTGAAAGCGGCCCTACGCAGCACGAATCCGGATATAGTCGGGCTCCAATGCGGGTACCGGACACCGGATGGGAAACCAAAAAAAAAAAAAAAAAATTGACCATATTAACCTTAATTTGTTCATTGAAAATATAACAAATAGTCCTAAGCTCTTTACTCCAAGGACAACTTTGGAAAAAAAAAGTTAATTCCTTTTTGATATTTGAAAAAATCAAATACTGTAAACCACAAAAAAGGACAAAAAATCGATTAAAATGGATCGAAGGGGATATAAGTTAAATTTTTGAAGTTATTTTTTGAGAAATTTTCATAAAGCACTATCTTTTAGTAGTAATTAGCCATTTATAGATACCATTTGCTATATTACGGATTATAGATACATTTTCTGTGGTTATAAGATGTATTTGATGTATTTAAGCTATTGTATTCATGAATACAATAACAAAAATAGGCGTGGATCACGAAAGTCCAGCTAATCAGTTGTTGTATTCGAGTGTATTCGACTGTATTCATAGAGTGAAACATGGGATTACAGCTGGACAGATTATTGTATTCGACTGTATTCACGACGTGAAATAAGGGATTACACTGTTTTAAAACGGAAAGTGAATCAATTAACATAATAGATTTCTAATATAACTCAACAAACTCAATTATAACATACAAATTTTGTATTTTCAGTTATAAAAAAGATTCTCAACTGAAAAATACACCAAAAACATAGCAATCTTCAGAGAAATTATGTAATACATCTGAATACATAAATTATATTAATGAAAAAAAAAACATATGAATACATTCATGGCATATAGCGAGACAATGAATACAATGAAATACATAGAATACAACGGGATACATTGAAATAAATTGAAAAAAAGACAGTGAATATAATGAAATACATGGAATACAACGAGATACATTGAATTACAATGAAAAAAAGACAATGAATACAATGAAATACATAGAATACAACGGGATACATTGAAATAAATTGAAAAAAAGACAGTGAATATAATGAAATACATGGAATACAACGAGATACATTGAATTACAATGAAAAAAAGACAATGAATACAATGAAATATATTAACAGAAAATCAAGTTGCTCAGCCTCAAACTCCGTCGTCTTTGTTCAAGAATAAACCCTAATTTCCGGCGACGAGCAAAAACCCTGAATCTCACAAAAAAGACCCTTCGTATTCAATAAAGTGCCCTTCGTATTTTAGGAAACCCAATTGGGAGCCCTTCATAACAGAAAATCAATAAGAAAAAGCAGAATAACAGGCTTTTTGATAAATTGGTTATACTCTCTCAAAAGATAGTGATGCCTGTGTCTGGTTTTATGGATTACTCATGCTGCAAGTTGTTATTTGGTACATCACCATTTTTCTAGCCAATATCCCTAATGACAAGCACTTCGTAACAACCCCGCCAAAAAATTTCATGAATCAAGTGCCCTCTGTCAGTGCCCTTCGTAAGAGAAATTTTTCACGAAATCCAATAAGGGAGCCCTTCGTAATAGAAAATCAAGTTGCTTCTGACGAAGCCTTCAGTTGTGTTTTCAGGGAATAGGGGAAAAGAATGACATGTATCAAAATAGAGAGAGAAAGAAAAGAGTGTAACTGAATAGCGTATTTACTGGCTTAGGGTAGGAGGTAGCCAAAATTAGATATTTTGTTATAAATATTAAAAAATATTTATAGAATATAATTTTTTTAAATGATATTTATTTAAAATAAATAAGGTGTTAACCTTTGCTATCGGAGGTAAAAATTCCTTATTTTAAAAATTCCTTATTTTTTCCAGTAGTTAAGAATAACAATTTAATGTAGTGTCACCGGTTTGAATTGAAGTAACTAAAAAAGTTCAATGCTTTTTCTTGCAATAATGAATTTGAGGCGTACCTTCGTTTCCAAATAACTTGATACGGAGTTTAAGGAATTAAGACAAAACTGTTGAATCTTGTGATATTTAAACTAATAGCCTGTTTGATCAAGCTTTTTTTCGGGCCAAAAGCTTCTCTCCAAATTGAGGTGTTTGGCCAAACTTTTGGAAGGAAAAAAGTGCTTTTGAGGAGAAGCAGAAGCAGAAAAAAGTAGCTTCTCCCCAAAAAAGCAGAAGCAGAAAAAAGCAGAAAAGCTTGGTCAAACACTAATTACTCATCAAAAGTGTTTTTTTAATTAATTAGTCAAACACAAACTACTTCTCACCAAAACACTTTTTAAAAACACTTCTCAAAATAAGCTTATTTTAGAAGCTTGGCCAAACGGGATACATGCATGTGTATCACGTAGCAAAATGTCTTGTGAGTCTTTATTGTGTTAACATGTTATGTGGGATATTGAAATTAAAAGAGTTTTCTACTAAAAAAAAGAAAGTGGATTTTTTTAAAAACTGACTAAAAAGATAATTACAGTGCTTCAATTGTTGAAAATGTCTTATTAATCTGATCTTACCCTAAGTCCTTCAACGCTTACTTGGTATGAGAGTATCACACCAAACACTAATCTCTGTGGTCAGTTTTGTATTAATTATTCGCTATAGTCAAAGAGATTTTCCCCCATGTATAGCAGAAAGGCCCTAATGTTTTTATCTTGCTATTCATTATCATCGGTTTTCTAATGACTATAAGGCAGCTTAATGTTTTAATTAGCCATCAATTAATTATATGATTAGATCAGTTTCGTTGACTCAACATGTTTCTTAATAAATACTAAACAAGACTTATCTTATTGATCATTCTGAGTCAAAATGAACACAGATATTAGCAGGAGCAAGTAATATAAAAGGGCAAAAACGACTTATAGTCTGTATTATTCTTAGGTTGCATATATTTACCTTTTCCGTGGAAGTTGAGGATGGTCAAGAAAAGAGTCTTATAAGCATCTTATTTATGCGAGTCAATTGCATATAACTCTTAATAACTTACTTTCAAACACACAAAATAAATACCAAAAGTGAAAGGGAAAAGAAAATGCCGTTCCACAGGTTTCAGATATACACAATCCATGGCATATAGAACGGTTCCTCTCCACCACACATATTTTGCGCACACAAAATTTTGGCAAAGTGCTACCAAACAGGCTTCTCTCCAGGCAGATATGAAGGAGAACTTCCCTCTACTTGGTTTTTCTTCTTCTGAAAAATGCCACTGATATTAGGCATCAATACCTTCTTCTTTGACACAGATGTCTTTGCTTTCTGCAACTTGCGTGATTCCGTTATCTTCTCTTGTGAGTTTTGCTTCCAGGTTTCCACTGGTGGTGGGTGCATCTTTGAATGCGACTCCATGAACTTCTCCAATGGCTTCTCCTTCTCAACTCTGTAACCTTGAGGAGATGATTCGTAGTTCATCTGCTGTTCAGCAAGAATACGAGAAGCTGCCTCGGCTGCCTTCTTTTGATCACGTTCTCGCCATCTTCTAAGCTCCCCTTCTACGGCCTTCTTGGCAGCTTCTGCCATCTCTGCCTTCTTCAATGCTTCCTGAGTAGCTGTTTTTATATCGTCAATCTCCTTCTGAGTAGCATCCAACTTTTTGAGGGCCTCATTCTCACTTGCTTTCACGGCCTCTACCTGAGCTATTACAGCTCCCACTCTAATTTCTGCTAATTTATCAAATTCTTCAACTTTACGGCTCAAAGAGTCAAACTCGTCTTTTGATAAAGTGATATGAGAACCAGACTCGGACATTGAGGATCGTGCAGTCGCGTTCTTTTCAGATAAAATCTTAATTTCATCACGAGCCCCAGCCTCAGCTGATTTTGCTTCTTCAGCTTCTTCCATCGCCACTTTAAGCTTCTTTTCTGCTTCTTCAAATGCCATTCTAGTGGCTTCTGCTTCTCTCTTTAATTCTTCTGCTTGCTTTTTCATCTCTTCAGCTTCAAGCTTGGCATTTTCAGTCTCCAAGGTCAGCTGATGGAGAGTAGAGATCATTTCTTCGGAAGCCCCTCTTGCTCTGGATTCTTCTGCAACTGCTACTTCAAGCTCAGATTTGACTTTCCGGAGCTTGATGTGCAGACCCACAGCAAGTGATTCTGTCTCCGCCTCCTTCTCTTTCAGATCAGAATGTTCTTTCTTCACATTCTCCAGCTCCAGTTTAAGGGTCTCTAACAAGGTCTGCAGAGTGCTCTCTTCTTCTGCCACTTTATGCAGTGATTCCTTAGCATCATCCAGCTCTGCAGTAACAGCTGTCACTGTATCAAGGTCAGAAGACTTCGTGCTATCCATCTCTTTTCGCAGAGCTTCAATTTGGGATGTTGTTTCAGCCAATTGTGCTTCCAGACTCCTGGCTATGTCCCCATTGGTTTCTTTCCTCAATGCAAGTAACTTCTCTGCTGACTCTTCAAGTTTAGCTTTGTAGGACTGCTTCTGAACATCCTTTTCAGCATAAATCTTTGCTTCCTCCTCCCGCTCCTGCACACAGGCAAGTTTTAGTTGATTAATTGACTCCTGGACAGCTGCTATTTCCTTGGAGAGCTCACTAGCTCTTTCCACGTTTGCTTTGGCAGTACGCCCAGCTTCTGCTGCCTGCTCAATAGCGACAGCTTTTTCTTCCATAGATGTATTACAATCCTGACGGATTTTCCTAAGCTCTTGCTTTGCGGTATTAAGATCAGCTATTTCAGCCATATACTTTTCTCTCGCAGTTTCCAAATCCACCTTCCAAGAACCATCATTCCCAATAACAGAGCCATCATTTGCTTCTTCAAGATGGTTCACCTGACTCTTTGCTGCTTCTGTTGCCTTTATAGCTGAATCCTTTGACTCACATACAAGTTTGAGCTTATGGGTGAGGTCCCCAACAGTGCGTTTTGCCCTTTCAAGCTCGGTGAGTGCTTGGTCTTTTGTGGTTTCAGCATTTTTCAACTGCTCCTTCAACTTGTTTAGCTCTTTCTGGGCTAAATGAAGCTGTGTTTCCTTTGCCAATACCCTCTGAAAGAAAGAAAAAATAATGTTACTAAGGTGAGGCTATCTGGTTGCAGACCCTGACACTAACCAATGCTTAGATTTAAATATTCTGTATTCAGTCACTTCAGAGCATCTAATGCCTATTACAACTCCAAAGAAAAAAAGTTCTGAAAGTAAAAATGAAGCAGAAATTTTTTTTATACACACTACCCAAGTAAGGTGGACTGGGGTGCTTCAAGAAATTAATCAAGAAAGAAGGTGCTTCAAGAAATTAATCAAGAAAGAAGGTGCTTCAAATATGCATATACAGGACAAAACCTTGATGAATAGATGGAGATGCTTGCATGCACAAACCTTTATAATATACTAGATAACAAGAATATTAGTGTGTGTACTAGGCAAGAGGAAATTTGGATTAGAAGTTCATTCTCTAACTTTTCCTTGTCTACTAAGTTAATAATCAATCTTAATCATAAAACGACCATTTACTACAAGCAGAACGGATAATGTTAGTCGCAATAAAAACATTTTAACTTTTCCAATCAGGATAATGATACATATTTGAACCACAGTATCATATACCTCTGCGGACTGAGGTTTTGCCTTCTTGATTGCTGGTTTTTCCCCTGAGAAAGCACCTTCCCCAAACAAGTTAACAGCATCTTTGACAGACTGAAATGGTGCACTTGTATCTATCTCTCCAACTTGTATAGGAGATCCAGTGATCTTCTTATGGTCTTTTGCAACCATATTGCAATCTTTTTGACACAATCACCTATCAAGAAAAGCAAAGAAAAGTTGACTGGGAGTGATTAAAAACACAGTCAGAGTTTTCAACCTAGTAGATAAGAATAATATAGAAGCTCGAGATACACCAGTTTACAAGTGGTCATCATGCAATACAAGCTATAGTTAAATATGAGTCCCTCCTCGTACTTGAAAATCTTAAACATTCGATTCCCCTTTTGGTTATTCTCCTCATTGAAATATTGTACAGATAGGATGAGTACAGCTTCAGAAAGCACATTAGTCCATTAACATACAATGAAAAGCAAATACACAAGATCATTCAAGCAGTTCTGAGATTGGGAAGATTAGAAAAGCGTAAACCCAGAACTCAATGCGAAGAAGATGGAGAAATTTAACTTTTGGAGATGAGTTGAATTTTTTTTTTCTTAAGGCACACCTATCCCCTTCCCCAAGGATACTGAAACCTAATTCAATATGTTTTAAGCTACAATTATCTACCAAAATGTTACAAGACCAATCAATCAACACTCTTAGTTCATCACTGCAGCTAAAGTATTCCTCCTCAAGACCTCAACTACCTAAGACTGAAAGATGTTTGAGATTGTCAAAAAAACTTGCCATGATAGAACCCACTTACAGCACAATAATGGATGAGAACACGATAGTGGTGCATCAGACTAGGTCAATCATCAATGATCTGTCATGGCCAACTATGTTAAATGGATCCTTTCATTTGCCTTGTCATACACGTCAAACAGGTGTGACATGGCATTGGTATGTCGTGCAGATTCTTCAAATTACAGTACAAATTGGAAAAAACTACACATACGCGTACCAAAAAGTTACACATGCACTTGTTGGGATTTGTACCTGTAATTGTACACGAGTACGTGCAACATAGATGTAAAATACAGTGAGGATCTAGAATGACACCTGATAGAGAGAATTAAATGTCAGGTATTGTCTTAAACTATCACATGTCCACTACATTCAACCATCAATCTTGTTGTTGACCCATCCAGGTTGAAATGTTGCATCTTTTGACCTTAACACTCAAAAACCATTATTCTAGTTTTTTAGACGAATGTGTAGAAGTCATTTAGTTGCTTCAACTAGGTGCGCTATACCAATCTTATAGATACTCATCCATTCTACCAGCCACTGCAACGGCTTATTTGCTAGTAGCATGTGGAGGTAAATATACTACCCAGATACTAGCACCCTTGTGACTTTCACAGCACATCATAGGGAAAGAAACCACAGATATGAGAATATTATCAAGCATTTTTCCTGCTCCTTTGAGCTACATGAATAGAAAGACACTTTCCTTTTGCTACATTGAGAAGAGTAGACTGTTTTCGACTTTACTTTCATCTGGAAAATGTCATGTTAAGTTATACTCAGACAGCTGTGTGTATACATGGAATGCATGTCTATAAAATGTACTTCATTCCTCAAAATCGATAAATCTAATCTCCAATTCTAGCCACTAAAAGCGCCATATCACCACTTTAAAACCTCCAAAGTTTCCTATATGACAAAAAGATAACTGACTTGAAAATGATAAGCCACCTTAGATTAGCACTCACATTAAGTCATTAGTGAAATCAAAAGTATTCACGCTGAGTTTGGTTGCCGTACATCTCAAGTTAAAAGCAAAACCACTATATTGAACTCTACTTTGGTGTATCTGACGGTGTGAAAGTATGGAGATGTCAAAATCCCGTTGAAGTAATTGTCTCTGCATGACATGCTGATGCAAGTATCACATTGAGGCTTCATCTGGGGATTTTAACAATTAAATTGGAGTAATCAAATCTTTAAATGCTTCCCAACCCAATAAGATTTTCTCCTGACAGAACCCATTTTGCATCGAGTTTGTCTTAGAGTCAAATTGTAATTTTTTGGTGAATCATGCCAAGGCTGAAATAGATTACACAAGAGATATAGCAAGGCTAATGTACTACAATTCTATTTGGCAAAAAATGGCAACTAAAATTAAACTTGGTTATAGTCCAACATTCCCTGGATATAAGTGTAACTAGTCAGCATGTAAACGTAAAATCAAATAAACTCCACGTGAAACAATGCAGAAACTTTCCAAACTAGAACTCAGTTTCTCCAAGTGTATCCAGCATCATGGGTTGCAAATAGCTACCTAAACATTCATTTTTGGAAGTGAAACAAACAGAGAAACAGATGCAAAGTTAGTGCACAAAAGCAAATACCTCTACAACTATCACTTACAAGGTACACTAAGCCAGAAATGTAATTATCACACCCTCTAAGATCGCAATCAGCATCAGTTGCATATACAAACATGTCTTCTCGACATTTTTTGGGTAAACTAAATTTGAAGTCTGATATTGGTAAATAGTTAAAGTAAGCAAGAAAATCATTTTAGTGCATAAAATTGCATTTGGTACATATTACAACAACATAGCTAGTGTATTCCCACAAGTGAGGTCTGGGGAGGGTAGTATGTATGCAAATCTTACCCCTACAAGGTAGAGAGGCTATTTCCGATTGCCCCTCGGATACTTCTAAAAGGTGAAACTAGCAACTTAGTGAGTGGAAGGCATCAAATTATGAAACTCGTAAAACAAAAAAAACAACTATACCTCAATCGGAAGCTCATAAAATTAGAAGAATTTTCTTTAAAAAATAATGCAAAAATATCCCCTCTGAAACCAGTAAGTAATACTATCATTTAATTTTATACTAATCATCACGAGATGTGAGTACGAAAAAGAAAAAATCATTACATTTCTCAGTTAAAACTTACCAACCAGAACAAGAGCAACTACACGGAACAAATTCTATTTACCAAGTCTACAAAGACTTAAAATGTAGCCTTAAAAGACTTAAAATTTAGCCTTACTTCAACGTGCTTCAGCACAAATTCAACACCAACAATTAATAATAGCAAGAAGGGAAAAAAAAGGCAGGCAAGCAAGGGTAAACATGGAAAAGAACTTACCTAATGATAACTCGAGCCCCAATCATATACGAAAGAGGGGAAAAAAGGGCACATCCATAAACCCTAGGAAAAAATCGTCAAGCTTTTGAATCCCAAAAGGGTCGATATGGCAGCAGCAAATTCTGAAGCAAAAGGCGAAAGTGGTTGACCCAACTAAACGTATGTCCAAAAGTCAATACTTTAACTACACAACATAAACCCAACAACCAAACAGTCCTTTCTTCAAGTTTTTAATTTTCAAGAGGTAAAAAAAAGGAATTTTGCAGAGACTAGGATGAGGGGAAATACTGTTTGTATAGTGAAAGGAGGAAGAAAATAAGCATGGGTAGTTGCAACATCCGAGATAGAGAGAAGCAGAAAATTCAAACGGTAAAGACAGGAATTGTTCACTGGTGGTATGAGAGAGAGGGGTGGGTGATGGTTTGAAAGTGAGAAAAGGCTAAAAAAGCTGTGTGTTGAATGACAAATATAGAAATGTATACTACTCCATCAGCTAATCAGAGAGGAGAGAGAGAGCAGAGAGAGAGAGAGCGAGAGTCCAAGTCAGCAAATGGCACCGTCCAAAGGCTGACTCTGTCTCTGAGCACGCAAAGGCTGGGTGAAAAAGAAGACGCACAAAGACAAAGGTTGCTAAAGATAGGGTAATAATATATGGATTAGCTATGTCATCCTCCATTATTAAGATTGTATTGTATTGAAATTTATACTTGCTAGGAGTAGTTTGTTTGGCCAAATATTTGGGAGGTCAAAACTATATTTTTTTTTTCCTGAAAAGATAATATTTTTTTGAAAACTCACTGATATTTGTTTTTTTTTTTGTTAATACAGAAAAGCTAGGTAATCTTGGTTGAAAATTGTTCCCGCGAAGGTTTTCGAGGGATCAAAATTGAAGTTTCTAGGTTGGTTAAGATAGACATTTTAGTTCAAACATAATTTTTTATATTAATGACAATTAGTTTAAAAGAATTGCTATAAAAAGTCGAAACAAAACAAGTGAGGTTAATATTTCAAAGCCAAACCTAAAAGGTATTTTCTAAAATTAATTTCACTCCGTATTAAAACATGAATACAATGTCGGTTTACAAAAATAACCTTATAATATTAAGCATAATAACTCACAATAAAAGAACATAACCAAAATTTTAGATATTAGTCTTATAATCCTATTAGTTTTAGGATATAATACTACACGTTTGGGATCCTACGTGATTACCTTTAGGGATCCTACGTGATTACCTTTAGGAATCCTGTTAGTATAATTACTTTTGGGCAGTCTAATTCATATAAAATTGAACAAATAAATATCTTTAGTAATGCAATCCTATTACTTTTAGGATATACTTCTTAAAAATTTCTATTATCAATTTAATGTAACGATCCGACCGGTCGTTTTGAGCTTTTGCACTTTGCTCGCCAGTTCTCGGGCATGATTTGCCCCGTGTGATGGATTATGACTTATGTAAATCGTTGGTTTTGGTTTTCAGGGTAATCAGAATGAATTTGGAAGAACAGTTCTCAGTTTGAAGCTTGAAATTTGAAAAGTTTGACCAAGATTTAACTTGTTGATATATGATCTCGGATCAGAATTTTTATGATCTGGTTAGCTCCGTTAGGTGATTTGGGACTTAGGAGCGTGATCGGAATGCATTTTGGATGTTCGTGGAAGGTTTAGGCTTGAATTGGCGAAATTGAGATTTTAGCGTTCTCCGGTTGATAAGTGAGATTTTGATATAGGAGTTGAAATGGAATTACGGAAGTTGCAGAAGCTCCGTTGTGTCATTTGTGATGTGTGTGCAAAATTTCAGATCATTCGGACGTGGTTTCGTTGGGATTTTGATCGAAAGCGAAATTTGGAAGTTCTTGAAGCTCTTAGGCTTGAATCCGATGTGATTTTGGTGTTTTGAGCGTTCTGAAGGTTGGAACACGTTTGTATGAGGTTATGGGATATGTTGGCATGTTTGGTTGAGGTCCCGAGGGCCTCGGGTAAGTTTCGGATGGTTAAACGTATCAATTTTGGACTTTGGACTTGGCAGTTTTTGTTGGTTTTGTGTTGCACACGATTTGTTCTTCGCGTTCGCAGTCAGGGACCCGCGTTCGCGAAGGGTTTTCTGAGGCGGCGAATTTTGCCTTCACGTTCGCGTTTTGGGTGTCGCGTTCGCGATGTTTTGATGTTTTGATTCTCTGCATTTGCGAGGCCTGTGTCACGTTCGCTAGAGTAAGTGGGAGCAGATGGGGTCCCAGCCTTTTTGTGCTACGCGTAAGGAGGTCGCGTTCGCGATGGTTTGGAAAGCGGACGTTTTGCGTATGCGAGCCGGAGGTCACGTTCGCGTAAGGGGAAATTTTGGTCAACGATTTTTGTGCTTCGCGAACGTGAGGCCTTGACCGCGTTCGCGAAGAAGGTTTTTGATGCCTAGGTAGAATGTTTAAATAGCCATTGTCCGCGATTTTGGGGCTAACTTTAACCATTTTTGGGCGATTTTGGAGTTTTTTGAGAGGATTTAAAGAGGTATTCAAGATATAACACCTGGAGGTAAGATTTTTAAACTCAATACTCGATCCTACGTTGATTCTTACTTGTTTAATCATGAAATGTGTGGAAACTAAAGCCTAAAGTTGGGAAATTAGGGCTTGACTTTGGAGAGTGTAAATTGGAAACTTGAAGGGGCAATTAAGGTCTGATTTTGATGTTCTTGGTATGTATAGACTCGTGAAAGGATGAGGATTCTATGGATGTGATTTTTATCGGATTCCGAGACGTGGGCCTGGTGGCCGGGTTTGAGCAATTTCGGGATTTTTGATGTAAATCGGATATTTTCGAGTGGGCTTCGTTCCCTTAGCATATTTTAATGATTATGTACTGAGTGTGGCTAGATTTGGAGCATCCGGAGGTCGATTCGTGCGGTCAAAGCATCGCGGGCTAGAGTTTGGACCGGATCAAGGTGAGTAATGATTGTAAATGATGTCCTGAGGGTATGAAACCCCGGATTATACATCGTTGTGCTATATTGAGGTGACACACATCTTGATGACGAGCGTGGGTTCATGCACTATTGGGGATTGTGACTTAGTCCGTCCCGAATGACTATTTTACCACGTATTTGACTGAAATCTATTTGCTATCATCATGTCTTGGGCTGAATGCCATATTTGGGCTTCGTACCAACTATTTGAACCCTTAGGGGATTTTTATTGATATTTTCTCACTGTTTTGACTTTATATTTGAACTCAGTCATGCTATATTTCATTGTTTTCATAACTCAACCATGTTTACTCTGTTTTAATATATCAAATGATATTTCAATTAATATTTTGGGCTGAGCATCATATTTTACTGTTGCTCGAGTGGCTTATGTGATTTTGACTGAGTAAGGCTGAGGGCCTGTGCTGTGAGGATACTTTTGGGTCGGGTTGCACACCGCAGCGGTGTTACACTAATTATGATTATGAGGCCGAGGGCCTGAGTTTGTACGCCACAAGGTGGCTTGTTGATATGAGGCCGAAGGCCTAGTGATGATGCCACGAGATAGCTTGATATTGCGCTTGGGCCGTAAAGGGCCCCTCCAGGAGTCTGCACACCCCCAGTGAGCGCGAGTACCTATTGTGATGTGAGATATAGCCCGAGGGCTGGTATTGTTGACATTGTGCCTGAGGGGCAATCCTTTATGTATTTATCTATCTTATTTGTCTGTCATTTACCTGTTTGACTGTGTATTTATGCCCGAGGGACGGATTTTCTGTGCTTATCTGTTCTAATTGCTTTGCATTCAATTGCTTAACTATTGAAAGTCATTTTTAAAGAAGTTCAAACTGAGCTAAGATGCTTTAAGAGATTTCATAGCTTCACTGCTTTCTTACTGATTTTGTACTACTTTTATACAGCATGTTGATGTACTTTTCGTGATTTCCTATCACTCAGTCTTTAGTTATGATTATTACTCACTGAGTTGGAGTACTCACTTTACTCCCTGCACCTTGTGTGCAGATTCAGATATTTCTGCACCCGGTAGCAGGTATTGATTGATCAGAGGCAGAGTCTTTGGAGTTTAGCAAGGTAGTTGCCCGACGTCCGCAACACTGCTTTTCTCCCTTTGATGTCATTAGACTGTATTTAGTACATTTACAGAAATTCCATTGTATTTTAGACCTTAGTAGATGCTCGTGACTAGTGACACCCCGATATCGGGCTGTATCTATTTCTGCACTGTTCTTTTAAACTTACATTATGCAATACCCGATTAACTAAGAAGGCTTAAATTGACTTATTAAAACTTTTGAAACAAACTTGGGGATTGTGTCGGCTGGCCTTGTCTTCACGAGAGGCTCCATCACGACCGGGTTCGATTTGGGGTCGTGACAAGTTGGTATCAGAGCCTAGATTACATAGGTCTCACGAGTCATGAGCAGGTTTAGTAGAGTTTCGCGGATCGGTACAGAGATGTCTGTATTTATCCTCGGGAGGCTGCAGAACCTTGAGGAAAAACTTCACATTCTTGAATTCTTATCGTGCGTCCTTGATTCAGCTTGAAATGTAACTCTTTGAATTCCTTCCACGTGTTCGCATGTGCGCATAAACGCTCAGTATCTGATGTGCATCAATGGCTTGTGAATCCTTGATCAAGGGGCGAGATGTGATCTCTGTGTGTTGATGTTGGGCCAGTCTGGAAGACTTGAGGCCGGATTTTTGCCTATAGCTCATGCCTTGAGCTGTTGATTTCGTGAGCGCGTGTTTCTGTGTCTATATGTTCTATTGCGTCCCTATTAAGGGGAGTAATGACTGGATAGCTACGTGATGAGTATGTTATGACTGCGAGGTGTATTTATATGATTTGGAAATGACAAGAAGAGTCTGCTGGAGGATAGAAGAACTATTAGGCACTTGATTTTCATCTCGATTTGAGGTATAGCCTCGAGTTATGGGTGTGTGAAGAATCTTTTCATGTGTTCTAGTTGGGAGTGAAGTGAATTTCATGTGGCAGTATGAGTTCAGACTCAGGAAGATTAAGTGACTGCGTAATGTTTATGACGGTGGAAGGTATACAGAAATGTTAGTTTGAGGCAAAGCAGGTGGGGTTCTCTCCTACGGATTGTTTTGATGTTTGCGTAATCCCTTGTGTCATTTATTGGAAGATCTCTATTACCAGGGAAATATATGTTTTACAATTTGAATTTGGGTTGCTCAAGAGAGTATGCTTGACTACTACGAAAGTGAATGCGAGATGTGCAAAAGATATAAAGTACCAGATGGTCTATGTTCCATGAGCTTATGAAGGATTGAGTTTAATCTCACTATGGTATTATGGCAGCAATAAATTATATGCGTTATGAGTTATTGTGTATGTTTTGGTCTATGGCTTCGAGCCAAGTGGGGGAGTTCACTATTAATTAGTCGATTGTACGGTTATGTGCTATGTTGGTTCCAGTTTGAGGCATACGGGTGAATCGGTTATGGCTTACGGAGATTGAGACTCAAGATGGCTCGAGTAAAGGAAAATTTTGACAAAGGTTATGTCATGCTTCATAGGTGTATGAGAATCATGGAATGTCTTGAGTTGTTGTTGGTAATGGATGCTTGGTGCATAGAGCAGGAAGTTGCTTGGTTGTTTTAGGATGAGGTTACACTCTTCAATGTCGG